CGTCCACAATTGTGCTGAATAAATCTTTTAAGCTGACATTTTTGGCTCATGTCTTTACAACTGAAAGATAGTCAGTGTGTGTGACTGTAGCCAGCTGCTTTTTGATTGAATATATTTGTATTTTTCAAACATAATAACATCTTATATCCAACTGCGGATTCCTGATGTTTATGAAATGGAACATAAGAATGCATTTTAGGAGCTTGTATCAGTACTGTACATACACATAACCACAACATTTTGGCAGTGCTTTTGGTGTGTTAACTCTTTTATGAAGCTGCAACATTACGTCAGAGCTAAGTGTCTTCTTGACCCAATTTCCAGAACAACTGTCTTCTTAAATGTGAGAACAAAGAGAAAGTTGAACCGGAGTATCATTCCCTCTCACTACCTCTTTAAGTCTCTAGACGCAGAAGGAGTAACGGCTTCTGGAAAGATTATAAAACTTAACAGGATCATGTAAAGTGGAACACTGCCGTTTAACAGCAGGGAGAGGAAGTGCTGTTGTTTTTAACTGTGAAACGTAAATCCTGTTTCATATCAAAACCTTAGCTGGCTCGGTGTGCCACGTTAAACACACAACTTTCTCATGGTCCACTTCAATGGCTCATCAGTCGGGACGGCATGATCGGAATTTATTGACCTAAATTTTAAAGGAACAGAGCATGTTCTTTGAATAAATGTTCATATTTGACAAAGAAAATAACCGAAAAGCTATCCAAACCAACCTTTCCATGTCTGAAAATATGATAACCTCTCTGCTAACTCATGAATTAGCTGTGATTAACCAAATTTTTCAAATTACCTAAACACACCCAGGCCCGATGATGGATTATAGAACCTGCCTGACAACATGAAGCAGGCTGAACAATCTCAAATAGCTATTTGAATAGCATTTTCTCTTATCTTACCCATTTTGAGTAGTATGCAGCATATTTATTACTGTGATAATCAAACTTTAGACAAATATAAAAAGTCTTCTTTTTTTTTTAACAGCATCCCAGGCTCTGAGTGTATACAAGATGAGATCTGAGTATAAAAAGCAAAAGATGAAGGAGAGCATCAGCAGAAACAGGGACAGAAGAGGAGAGTGGAATGTGTTCCTCCTGAGTCTGAGCCCTGGAAGGATTCAGAGCTGCACAGAATCCTTAATGAGGAGGGATTTACAAACGAGAACCTTAACTGCTCCCAGGAACACAGTGAACTCCCCTCAGCCCCCAGTCAGTTAGACTAATCAATCCCCTCGATCTCTTTCTCCTCACAGCTCAGGAAGGGGCAAAAAGACTCACACTGACTCTCTAAATGTGCAGCACTAAAATCTTTTTTGAAAAATATCTAAAGGTGAACAATGCACAAAATGAAAACAAAACAGGCTTCAAAGAGCTGCAGACTCAAAAAAAAAAAAAAAAAAGACAAACGTTGTATGCACTTAGGTGCTCACCAACAAGCTCTGGGACGTCATAGACACATTACCCTGCCCAAGCTGCCAACGTGAGAGACAAAACGGGAGCGCAGGGCCGGCTGTCTATTCAATAATAGCTCAAAATGGGGGGGGAAATGGCTTCTGAAATTACATTTTCTGGGGGTTGCGGGGTTAGTTCTCATTTTAAGTACACACAGCCGCGGATTCACATTCATTTCCTGTGTGACTCAGTCAAGCATCGCATCCGTCAAACGTCCCATAACTTAATCTCATAGCCGTTCGCAGATGTGACGGGATTAACAGCATGTCGGGAAAATATTTTTTTCCCAGTTATCTCTTCTGTCAGGACTTTGGGTGTACGTGCTTTTCTTAGATCTCGTCTAAAGTTGGTAGATTTCGGTTTCTGCTGTTTGTTAGAAATGTCTGAGAAAACAGTGACGGCAACAAATAACTGGAGCAGGAAATCTTTGGTAGTATCTTGATCTGCACACTGTGAGGAGCATTTGCCACTGTAGTCGTTACTGTATGCAATTATATCATTCACAGTGTCCTCAGTTATTGCACTTTTCTCTGTTCAAAATCATTATTCTGTTGTTTTTTGTTGTTGTTGTTGTTGTTGTTTTTGGTGTTAGTAAATTAATATTTTCATGTGGAAGGGTTCCACCCAAGCAGGAAAAAAGGCAGTGTGACATTGCTGCCATCCAGTGGACAGCCCCACAAACACAAGACTTTGTTTTTTAACAAAAACTAATGCTTCTAACAGTTATCAAATCTAAGAATAACATCTTTTTTTTTAATATGAGGGTTTTCCAAGCCAGATTCCAGGTTCCTCCACCTACTGTAATTTGAATTAATCTTTTTCTAGGTTCTTTCTATACTGTACGTTCTGTTCCGCTGTCAAAAAGTTTCCCTCCTCCATCCGTCCATCCAACCGCTCATCCAGCCATTTATCCGATCAACTGCTCAGCTATCCATCCATCCATCCAGTATATTTCTTTCCATTTTAACATATTAGCACAACAGCTGATGAATATGTGCTTTAAATGTGATTTTAAAGTTCAGTTTTTAAACTTGAAAAACTGGCTGAGAACACAAAGGAGTGTGACAGTTTCAGTCTGGAAAATGATGGCTTTTTGACATGTAAATGTGTAAGACCAGGACAGTTGTACCACTTACGCCCTACTACTGGGTTCATAGTTATAGGTTTCCTGCTCTTTCACACAAGGCCGTGAGCAGTGACAATTGTAACGGGAATTGTATCACTGAAGTAGCCCCCCCAACAGAGTGAATCCTGCAGACTGTGTGGTTAAAGTCTCCCACCACCACTAGCAAACGACAACATCGTTTATCAGACATTTTCCATGGCGCATGCAGTTAGTTTCTTTTATGTATTTTGCCATGTCTTTGATGTACATCGCACAGTGGGGGAGGGGGGGAGCTCACTCTGAAAAACTTGTGAGCAGAAGAAAACATAATTTCTTCCCCTTTGAGATCCCGTTGTGTGTAACTTTTCAATTCTGCTGCATTTAAACTGTGACTTCAAAGCAGGAGCCGCTACAAAGGAAGGACTTCAAACATCAAACCTGACTGTTTCGCTCCAAATATGAATTTTATATATATTTTTTTTATTAAGTTGCATAGACAAAGAGATCTAAGGGTTTGTTTGTTTTTCTTTATTGAACTATAAATATTATTTCCTTACACTGTGACTCTCAAAAGTGTTTATGCCTCTTCAACCTTTGCACATTTTCTCACTTTACAACCAGAAACTTTGGTGTTTACTTGCTTGAATTGGCAAAGTCAACAAAGTGCATAATTGTAAAGTGGGAGGAAGTAATATAGGTTTTCTTTTTTTCTTTTTTTTTTTTTTGCAAGTTTGAGAAACTAAACATTTGCAAATATTCGGCCCCTCTCTGCACGTAATGCATACCTTTGTATAAAATCCAAATTGAATACAGATGCAAATCTATTTGTAAAATAGTTTGAAAACTTATGTATCACTTTCAACTGTGTTGAAATAAGAAAATGACTAGATGGTGACGAAATGGATACTTTTAGAAAGCACAGTCGGCTTGCTGTCACCATGTAGCAGTTCGGTTTTGTGATTCAGACCACGGTAAACAAAGCTGATTCATTCTGTTTTCAGTAAAACCCGCAAAGGCCGCTGATAGAATCTCTGTTTTGCATGAGTGTGAATGCAGTCAAACATGCAACTGCAGAAACACGGTGCCAGGAGTCTGCAGCAGGTCGCAAACGTTTCCTGAAGTCTAGGATAATGCACTTAGAAACACCATATGTTGTGTTACATATGCAAAAACTGAATAGGAAAACTAATAAAGGCATCCACACACATATGCAAATCTAAATAAAAAACACGCTGCAAAGGAAGTAAGAAATGATGTGTCTGATATTTCATAAGAGGCTCGTGTTGGTTTCCTCACACAAAAAACAAAACTGCTGCAATATTTCATTAACACATACACACACATACCAGAGCTTATTTTTGTCCTGAAATAGACAGTTTCCCACTTTATGACCGTTTGCATGTCGGTTAAGCACTCAACAGCGCCCCTCTGTGGCTGTTTGGTTGAATTGAGAGCAAGACTCACCTCTGTTTTCACTGGGCTGAATGGCTGGAGGCCGTGCAAAGGATTAGCGTTTGGATTAACGTCTTTAGAAGAAGCTTAAGGTGACAATGCACACAATCATATACATGTGTTATTCTCACAGGCTCTACTTCACACATAACCACAGAAAGCTTTCAGCAACACACACTGATGTTGCAACAGTGAAAATTTTCCCTCCATTTGGACAGACAGTATCACTCTTGTATCTTATGTATCACTGGACTTATTATTATTATTATTATTATTATTATTATTATTATTATTATTATTACGAGCACCTGTTGACATGAACAGAGACACGAAGGGAAGGCAAGATGCTGGCATGATGCTGCCACCAACAATGGGGACAAAGTGTTCAGGTTCAAGTTCAGTGTTGCTAATCGGAGCGCCTCCTTCTACATGTTTTGCCGAGTCCCCTTCATGGCGTGTGGCAAACGTGACCTTCTGTGGTCTTCTTTCAACAATTGTTGTTCCTATCTATCTGAATTAGCGCTGTAATGAAATGAGATGATGTAGATCAGCTTGGCATATCCTTACTGGCTCTAATCTCATGTAATCATCATTAATGACTTGTAATTACAGCGGCGTCACGACGTCGCAGCGGGACTGCGTCAGCGTCGAACGTCCTGACTCCAGATGCTGCCTTCAAATGCCGGTTAGAAATGGGTATTACCCCGTTATGTTTACTTCGTCGGCATCACGTAATTGCCGGTTTTGGCCGAAGTTGCAGCTCGAACTGCGTAATTATCATAACTATCATTTTTGACGTTATGCAAATTAAGTTTTAGGCTAATTTTGATGTCGGTTTGCGAATGTGTAATTTCTTATCTCCTGCTAAAGGCATTTGATGGAAAATCGACATGGTAAGTTGGCTTCATTATTTCACTGGAGCTGTACTGAATGGGGAGAGCATATTTATACACAACATTTGTTTGTTTATAACTCCGCGGGGGTGGGCCTCGGTTAGCCTTCCGGGAGCTGGTATTTCCGGGCTGCACTAAAGGCACCATCCGCCTGCTGCCGCATCTCTCGCTTCACCTTGCGGACTCAGCGGAAAAATAAATTAAAAACAACAATGTCAGGGAAAAGGACAACATAGTCTCTCCACAGTGAGTGACTGATCATGGCCAGTCGGTGGAGAGAAGGTCATCGCAGCCGCTCCAGGGAGCGTGGCACCAGCCTAAAAACAGCTGCTGCGCCCCGGCAACAGGAACCGTCCGGAGACACGGGGGACGTCGGGGAGTCGCTGCGAGAGCTGCCAAGATGGATGCGGCTCTACCTCTACGGCATGCACGGCGTGACTCTGGACGTCCTGCTCTCCTCCCTGCAGGGGCTCCTAACCAGTCGGGACCCTAAGCTGGTGGGCTTCTCCTCTCCGTATCTGTGCATCATGCACGCACTGACCCACTTCGCACTGGAGAAGATCTACTCCCAGAAGAAGTGCTTCCGAGGTCGGCCCGTGGTGTTCCACCTGGTCTTTTACCCGTCTGTCTACATCGGACTGCAGATCCTCGTCGGGAACATCAACACTCTGACCGAGCAGGTGCGAGTGGTGTCCGGGACGCAGCTGGTGGTCCACTACATCCTGGCTTTGTATTTCTCCCAGGTGTTCCATAGAGGGCTCGCGCACCTGCAGTACCAGCCCACCTCCCGCTGCGCCGACCTCTGGAGGAGCCTCGTCGGTCCCGATCATCATCATCATCATCATCACCATCACCATCATCCTTCAGGCGGACTTCCCGGGTTCGCCCGGTTCTTGTTTTTCGGCATGCACGGTTTCCTGGACGAGGTGTTGTTCACGTCTCTGTTCAACCTGGTGGAGAAAGGGGTGAGGGCCACCGGGGGCCACACGTCCCTGTGGTCCTTCCTGATGTACGGCAGCTGCAGCTTCGTGGTGGAGAAGCTCTACTTCCACCTGCACTTCGGGCGAGGCTGGGGGACCTGGCGGCGCCTGCCCATCTACATCTGCTTCATCTACACCTGGGAGTTCTGCTGCGGGCTGACGCTGAGGCAGTTTGACGCCTGCTCCTGGGATTACTCCCACTATCCGCACAACTTCATGGGACTCATCACCCTCCTGTACCTCCCGGGCTGGCTGATCCTGAGTCTGTACCAGGACGTGCTGTCTAACGTGCTGCTGAGAATAAGGTGCACCAAAGACCCAGACTGCGTGAGTGGGGAGAATGGAGAGGTCAACGGACAACTGGAATCGAAGAAAAAATAACTCTCAATGAACAAATCAGTTTCCTAACAGATCTATTTAAAAAGAAGAAGAAGAAGAAGAAGAAGAAGAAGAAGAAGAAGAAGAAGAAGAAGAAGAATATTCAGGTTCATCTCAGCAACTTGGAACATCTTCAATAAGTTCATACGTTTCTGTAATTCCGTTCAGAAACGTGAGTTACAGAGCCTCCCTCTGAAACTCATTTTAATTGACAGGTTTAAAATCTGAAGCATTTGCTTACTTTGAGAATAATGGCTTCCCAAAATTTAGCTTTTCAAAAGTCACAAACAGTAAAATGTAGAAGTGGTGTATTTTCCAGTTTACAACTAATGGAAAGAACTCAGTCTTTGAAAGGTATCATATACAACTAATTTAAAAAGAAAAATCACACATACAAAGTATGCCCGCGTACTATGCAATATAATGACTACGCCCAAGTTGCTTCAGGATTGACTTTTTGTTGCTTCTACACTTTTACCTTCCACTAAACTTTCCCATAACAGTACTCTGAACAGCCACTTCTGTAGTAATGATTCTTCCTTGTATATGCTGATATTCCCC